GGGGGGGGGGGGATTAAACGGCTATTTTATAAATAGCCAACGACTATTTTTCACAAACCAACGGCTAGTTCTTTTAAGAAAAAAATTATTGTTGGGACCGTTTGGCCCGCTTGGCGGGCCAAATGGTCCCGGTCTTACTGGTTCCAAAGCCAAGAACTGGCCCACATATGCCGGTCCTACCGGTCCCGGCCTACTTAGCCCATTTGGCCCATATGAACCGCGGTCCCGGGCCAGTCCCAGTCTCGGACCGGCCCACTTGCCACCCTTATGTGAATCTAATTTGTTATAATAGGTTATATGTCTTATTTTAGCTTCTATCCCTTTATTATAGGCAGGTGGTTATCTTTTTAAATGATAGTAAAAATTCTTTTATACTCTTAAATTGTATAAGTTAAATTCATTTGTTTGTATCAAAATCGAAACAATTTTCATGCACAAATATACGCCTCAAATGCAGTGACCTCAAGATTTGTAAATTGAATTTCAACTGCATAAGGTAGTTGTTCCGCAGATAGATGCTAATTAAACCACCTTCAAGTAAGTGCAACTGTATACGGGTAAGAACGGGCTCATGGTACACCCCTGTCTCCGACAAAATAAGCCAAGCTCGAGACATGTTGACAGGAGACTGAAATCGAGGCAAAAGTCTCATCGAGTCAGAATCCGGGGGCATGACGCCCGCCCTCGAGAATATCGGGGTCATGGTTCGGAATCGGTCTTAGCCTTGAACGACATCAAAGAACATTATCAGGCAATCGAGTACGGCCAACGGTAGGCCGTAATAACCATGACTGACCGGATATCACGACGGGGATCTCGGCACGTATCGGTGAAGAACCGACAATCAGTTAATCAGAGGACTTTTTACCTTTTATAGTTGTACCTAGAGTAGGATTCCCCTACAATATAAATGGGGTCTGATAATTCGTTAAGGGGACCGCAACACACATTCCAAAGCAATATATTATTATTTTATCTGTTATTAGCTCATTCTCTTGTTCATCAATGCTGGCCATAGCGAGCCCCGATCGAGGGCGAATATTTCCCTAAGGCTGAAATTATCCTCCTTGTATGGTTTGAATCCATCTTATCTTTGTTTGTTTAATTTGACTTACTTTATCGCTTTGTATCAAATTAATTCGCATATCCTTTAAACCACTTAGAAATTTAATTGTTATCCGATTTTGAGGGTAAAAAATTTGGCGCCCACCGTGGGTTTAAGGATAATAGTGGCAATTTGATACAAATTTCCATAACACACCCTACTTCAAGCTTGTTTTTTGAAGTGTCTTTGGTTTCAAGTCCACGTTTAAAATTTCGAACTCCCAATCTTCCCCTTTAAAACACGGATGCTAAATCTGGCCCCATGGCGACAATAACAATATAGCGCCCATTAACGAGCTACCCCCCTCCCTTGATCCCAACGGAATTTCGGTCGCTGACCCGATCGACGCCTGCTCACACGTGGCCATCAACGCGAATTTTCCCACTGATCCTAAGAACTGAATCCGCGGAGGAGTCCGGCCGACAACTCAAAATGCTCGTGATGGTGAAGGATATGGGATCAACTTACGGGTGATCTTTGAAATGTTGCAGGCTCAGCAGGCATCGATAGCCCAACTAGAGAACCGAAGTCGCGCTCCCAGTAGAGTTGAGCCCGAATCATCCTGGAAAAACACTCGCAGAAATGAACCAGTCACAGATAGGCCAAATGAAGTTGAGCCTAGAACAAACCCCGAGATAAAAAATATGATCGAGGAATTGAAAAAGTGGGTGGAAACGAGTGAAAAGAAAATCGATACTAATGGGAAGAAGGTGGAGACTTACAACTCAAGGGTCGATCAATTTCCCGAAGCGCCACCGATATTAAAAGGCCTAGACTCCAAAAAAAAATTTCAAAAACCCTTCCTTTCAAGCGCAGCCCCGAAGCCAATCCCTAAAGAGTTCCGCATGCCTGAAATTCCTAAGTACAACGGGACATCTGACGCAAATGAACATGTGACCTCATACTCGTGTGCCATCAAGGGGAATGACCTAGAAGATAATGAGATCGAATCTGTCTTGCTGAAAAATTCGGGGAGACCTTGTCAAAAGGAGCTATGATATGGTATCACAACCTACCTCCTAATTCGGGGAAGAGGAACAACATGACCACTAGATTCGCCACTCTTGGATTTTCCCTTATTCTTATTTTTGGAAAAATATTTTTTTAAGGAAGCCATCTTAATTAATCAAGTAATAACAAATAAATAAAACAAACAAAAACAATAATATTAAGACTTAAGAGTTGGAACGAGTTTACCAAACTGACGAACAACTTGTTGAAAATTGATTATCATTGAAGACTTGAATAGTTCAATTCACGTACTTCACAATCTTTTCACAAATTGTAACAACCTCAATATTTTTGAACTTTTTTTTAGAATAAAATAAGCAATAGTAGCAATTATAGGAGAAAATTAGAGAGAGATTGTGATAGTTTGATATTGATTTTGTAAGAAAAATGAAAGAATGAGGGGATATTTATAGTTAAAAATAGGAAACAGTGTAATTATAAAAAGTTTGGGGTTAAAACAAAGTTGGGGAGGGGTTAAATGGCTATTTTCTAAATAGCCAACGACTATTTTTGACCGCCCAACGGCTGTTTTTAAAAATTTTCAAACGGCTAGTTTTTTAAAAAAATAATTACCGTTGGGACTGTTTGGCCCGCCAAGGGACTGATCCGGTCCCGGTTCTACCGGTTCCAAAGCCAAGAACCGGCCCACGAGACCGGCCCAGGCCCACTTAGCCCGTTTGAACCGCGGTCCCGGACCGGCCCACTTGCCATTCTTATGTGAATCTAATTTGTTATAGTAGGTTGCATGTCTTATTTCAGCTTCTATCCCTTTATTATAGGCAGGTAGTTATCTTTTTAAATGATAGTAAAAATTCTTTTATACTTTTAAATTATAGAAGTTAAATTCATTTGTTTGTATCAAAATCGAAACAGGTTTCATGCACATATATACGCCTCAAATGCAGCGACCTCAAGATTTGTAAATTGAATTTCAACTGCATAAGGTAGTTGTTCCGCAGATAGTTGCTAATTAAACCACCTTCAAGTAAGTGCAACTGTATACTGGTAAAACCGTGCTCATGGTACACCCTGATCTCCGATAAAATAAGGCAAGCTCGAGACAAGATGACAGGAGACCGAAATCGATGCAAAAGTCTCATCGAATCAGAATCCGGGGATATGACGCCCGCCCTCGAGAATATAGGGGTCATGGTTCGGAATCGGTCTTAGCCTTGAACGACATCGAAGAACACTGCTAGGAAATCGAGCACGGCCAATGGAAGGCCGTAATATACGTGATCGGACGGATATCACGACGGGGATCTCGGCACGTATCGATGAAGAACTGGCAATCAGTTAATCAAAGGACTTTTTACATTTTATAGAGTTGTACCTATTGTATGATTCTCCTACTATATAAAAGGGGTCTGATAATTCGTTAAGGGGACCATAACACGTATTCTAAAGCAATATATTATTATTTTCTCTGTTATTAGCTTTTTCTCTTGTTCATCAGTGCTAGCCATAGCGAGCCCCGATCGAGGGCGAATATTTCACTAAGGCTAAAATCATCCTCATTGTGTGGTTTGAATCCATCTTATATTTGTTTGTTCAATTTGACTTAATTTATTGCTTTGTATCAAATTAATCTGCGTATCCTTAAAACCACTTACAAATTTAATTGTTATCCGATTTGAGGGTAAACAGTTTGGCGCCCACCGTGGGGCTAAGGATAATAGTGGCAATTTGATACAAATTTCCATAACACATCCTACCTCACGCTTGTTTTTTGAAGTGTGTTTGGTTTCATGTCCGCGTTTAAAATATCGAACTCCTAATCTGTGCCTCTAAAACATGGATACTGAGTCTGGCCACCATGGTGAGAATAATAATATAGCGCCCGGTAACGAGGTACCCCCCCGGCCAATGCCAACGGAATTCCGAACGCTGACCTGATCGACGCCATCTCACATGTGGCCTTCAACACGAATTTGCCCACCGATGGTCAGAACAGAATCCGTGGAGGAGTCCGGTCGACAGCTCAAAATGCTCGTGATGGTGAAGGAGATGGGATCAACTTACGGGTGATCTTCAAAATGTTGCAGGCTCAGCATGCAGCGATATCCCAACGACAGAACTGAAGTTGTGCTTCCAGTACAGTTGAGCCCGAATCATCCCGGGAAAATACTCGCAGAAATAAACCAGCCACAGATAGGCCAAATGAAGCTGAGCCCAGAACCAACCCCGAGATAATAAAGATGATTGAGGAATTTAAAAAGCAGGTGGAAACGGGAGAAAAGAAAATCGATGCCAACGGGAAGAAGGTGGAGAGTTACAACTCGAGGATGGATCAATTCCCCGGAGCGCCACCGATATTGAAAGGCTTAGACTCCAAAAGGTTTGTTCAGAAACCCTGCCATCCGAGCGCAGCCCCGAAGCCAATCCCTAAAACAATTCACATGCCTGAAATTCCTAAGTACAACGGGACAACTAACCCAAATGAACATGTGACCTCATACACGTGTGCCATCAAGGAGAATGACCTAGAAGATAATGAGATTGAATCTGTCTTGCTGAAAATATTCGAGGAGACCTTGTCAAAAGGAGCTATGATATAGTATCACAACCTACCTCCTAATTCTATAGACTCATTTGCTATGCTCGCAAATTCCTTCGTAAAAGCACACGCCGGGGCTATCAAGGTCGAGACCAAGAAGTTAGACCTTTTCAAAGTGAAATAGAGGGATAATGAGATGCTCAGAGAATTTGTGTCCCAGTTTCAAATGGAACAGATGGACCTGCCTCCGGTCGCGAATGATTGGGCTGTTCAGGCCTTTACCCAAGGACTTAATACTCGAAGCTCATTGGCTTCGCAACAGTTAAAGCAAAATCTGGTAGAATATCCGGCCGAAACTTGGGCCGATGTGCATAACCGATATCAGTCAAAAATTAGAGTCGAAGATGATCAAGTTGGGGCCCCTTCCGGGTCTGTTTATCTTGTCCAAGATAGTGACAGGCCCAAAAAAGACATTGATCGTGATCCAAGGCCAAGTAGGGATCGATATTAGCCGTATAACGATGATTGACGGGGTAACGGATCTTGACAAAACCCTGTGATAAATGAAAGGAGAAGTGATTGGAGCCAAAATAACTAGGGAATCATGAGCAAAAATGGTTTTGACAGGCCATCGGTCCTAAAGAAGCATCGAGGTTATCACAGTGTAACTTCAATGTCGATGTTGCTGCAATCGTATCCTCCATCAGACGCATCATAGACAACAAGTGGCTTCGACCTCGATAGTCTGATCCAGTCTAAAGGCATCCTAACCTAATATGCAAATATCATGGCACTCACGGCCATAGAAGAGGATTGTCTACAATTAAGAGAGGAAGTAGCTCGGCTATTCGACAACGGACATCTCCGAGAGTTCCTGAGTGATCGAGCTAAGAATCATTTCAAGAATATAGATTCTAATAAATAGATCGAGCAGGAGGAACCTCAGCACGTCATTAACATAATCATTGGTGGGGTCGAAGTTCCCCAGGGGCCGATGCTGAAGCGCACCAAAATATCCATCACAAGGGAAAAACAGACTCAGGATTACGTGCTAGAGGGAACCTTGTCTTTCAATGATGGGGACGCTGAAGGGATCATGAAGCCCCACAACAATGCACTAGTAATATATGTACTCATAAATAAATCTCGAGTTAAGCGTGTGTTAATTGATCCAGGTAGCTCAAACAACATCATCAGATCGAGGGTCGTGGAATAGCTTGGTCTACAAAATCAAATCGTGCATGCAATTTGAGTTCTAAACGGGTTCAACATGGCATGTGAGACCACTAAAGGGGAAATAACATTACCGGTGAACGCCGACGGGGCCATTCAGGAAGCCAAGTTCTATGTAATCGAAGGAGATATGAGGTACAATGCTCTATTCGGGAGGCCATGTATCCACAACATGATGGCAGTACCCTCGAATCTGCACCAAGTGTTGAAATTCCCTACGCCAGGAGAGATTAAAACAATCTACGGAGAACAACCGTCCGCAAGGGAAATGTTTGTGGTCGAAGAGGTTATCCCGATATCCTCATTTACAATGACAAAAGGTCTGGGTTCGGTCGCCAAGGAAAACTCCAAATAGCAATTACCAACATCGGCCCCGACCCAACTGGAGAAATAAGGGACCAATGAAGATGATAGCTACAGGGTTCCTAGGTCTATTATAACCCCCGATGACTTTGACGCCACCAAATCGACGGTGGAAGAACTGTTGCCCGATCGAAAGGTAATACCTGGGCACGAGGTTAAGTCCCGAGCTCAGGAAAAAACTCGTTAAATTCCCCATGGCTAACGTGGATTATTTCCTTGGTCCCACCTTGATATGACAGGGATCGCCGTGGAAATAATCACTCACAAGCTGAGCCTGGACCCGAAGTTCCATCCAGTCAAACATAAAATGATATCTCAGTCCGAAGTCAAACATGCATTCATCAAAGACGAGGTATCTAAACTCTTTAAAATAGAGTCCATTCGGGAGGTTAAGTACCCGAATTGGTTAGCAAACGTAGTGGTAGTCCCTAAAAAAGAGAATAAATTAAGAATGTGTGTAGACTATAAAGATTTGAATAAGGCATATCCCAAGGACTCTTTCCCTTTGCCAAACATCGATCGCATAATTGATGCGATGGCCGACCACGAGATTCTTAGTTTTCTCGATGCCTATTCCAGGTATAACCAAATTCGGATGGACCCTGGCAATCAGGAAAAGATGTGCTTCATCACTAAGTACGGTACCTACTGTTATAATGTAATGCCATTCGTACTAAAAAATGCCGATGCCACTTACCAACGCTTAGTAAATCTGATGATCGGAGAACAGATAGGAAAATCAATGGAGGTTTATATTGACGATATATTGGTTAATATCACACCTCGAACTTGGGAGCGAGACCGGCACCCTGTGCCTCACCTAACCTAGTATACCAAATTGCGACTAAGGGACTGTGAACATATAATGTCATAATTTGGCCATGGGGCCACATTGCAAGATAATTTACGAAGCAAAATATAAAACTGAATGGAAACTAGCGCTGACTAAACTTCAATATAAAGCTGGGCCGACAAGGCAGTCATAACTACTACAGCTGACAAACCACCAAAATATACATACTAGGCCTATAAGCCCAACATACTGCACTAACTAACAGGATATGTCTATAAGCCTCTACTTATGGTTGCATTGTCATCGGAATAGGGCCCCGACCTACCCATAACATATATACATACATACAAAAGATGTACACGAAACCCTAGACTCGATAACTCTGAAGGACGTGGAGCTTAACGATCAGGCTGAACTCAGGGAACACCTACTGAGGAGGTCTACCCATCTTTCTATCTGAACCTTCACGCATGAAATGCAGCGTTCCAAGAAAAGGGACGTCAGTACAAAATAATGTATCGAGTATGTAAAGCAATAACAAAACTGAAAACTGAAACTGAACTGATAATATGATAACTGAAAGTAACTGTGAGTCAAAGATGATCTGGAGATATACTTACCTGCTGATACTGACTCCACTCCTTCAATATAGTAAGTAAAATAAATGTCCAGCCCTATAAGGCTTGGCACGTGTAACTGCTTGGCCGTAGTAGGCTCGCCCATAGGCACTCGGCCATACTAGGCTTTGTATCTCGGCAAGTGTATGAGCATCTAGTAGATTATACAAAACCTCTAATACTGTCTGAAATAAAAATAGACAGAATGAGAAATATAAGGAGAGACACTAGTAGCTACAGAACGGCTCAGAAAGGCAGCTCACCACTATGCCCCTGGATAACGTGGGTGTAAGACGATAGGTCCCCCACTAGTACTTGCCTCAAGTCCTGCACAAAAAAGTGCAGCAAGTATAGTATGAGTACGTAAGCAACGTGTACCCAGTAAGTATCAAGCCTAATCTCGAAGTGGTAGAGACGAGATGGCCGACTTTGACACTCATTATGGGTCAATAATAATAATTGAAATACAACTAGAATATCTAAATCAACATGATTTACAGAATTTATAATAATTTATTTAACCAGCAGAAATAATCAAATTTCTTCAAATTCAATAATTCTCAATATATTAATTAAATTCCTTTAATTTAAATAATTTTCAATTTATCAATTAATCTCATTTGCAGGAATAACAATTAATTTCTCAACAAGAAGGCATAATAATTCATTAAATTTCAAGGATTCTCCATTTTATCAATTAGTTTCGCAAGCTGAAATAAGCTATTAAGGTATCATGTGATTATTATTATTAAGNTTAATTCGATACATTCACTAAAAATTATAGGAATCAATTCTATAATAAAATACTACATTTTCAATAAAAATTCCGAAATTAATTAAAAATTCATCTGTGGGGTCCACGTCTCGGAATCCGGCGAAAGTTACGAAATATGAACGCCCGCTTAACCACGAGTCTACCCTTCTCAAAATCACTAAATTCTGAAAACAATTCAGCCCTCAAATTCTCAAATCTATCCAAGAGGGTTTTCAAGCTTTTCCAACTCAATTCACCAATTAAATGATAAAAATAGTGACGGATTCGGGTAATTTAACCAATATTGAGTTAAGAACACTTACCCCGTTATTTTCTCTGCAAATCTCCCAAATATCGCCTAAATTCGAGCTCCAAATCGTTAAAAATGGAACTTAAACTCTCTACCCAGTTATTTCTTCTACGCGATCGCCAACTTCCTCACGCGATCGCGTAGCACAAATTTTTCTGCCCAAACATTAACCCTACGCAATCGCATCAAGTCCCACGCGATCGCGGAAGATATAAGCTTCCGAAGTGAGCTTAATGACAACAAAATTTCTTCTTCGCAAACGTGAAGCTTCCTCTGCGAACACGATTCACTAGTTTATTTTTTCCATTTTACTCTTCGCGATCGCGATGTACACCCCGTAGCCAAAAACCAACATTTGAAAATGGCCTAGTCCAAAATCAATTTGAAACACACCCGAGCCCCTCTAGATCCCGTCCGAACATACCAACAAGTCCCATAACATAACACAGACTTATTCGAGGCCTGCAATCACGTATAACAATATTATAACCACGAATCACACCTCAAATTAAACTTAAAGAATATTTCAACTTTCAACTTTCAAAACTCGTGCCGAACCATATCAAATCTACTCGGAATGACCTCAAATTTTGCACATAAGTCTCAAATGATATAATGAAGTTATTCCAATTCCCGAAACCACAATCTGAACCCGATATCATCAGGGTCAACTCCCGGTCAAACTTATGAACATTCCAAACCTTCAAATTTCCAACTTTCGCCAATGCACCAGGTTCCGACTCTACGTGATCGCATCCCTCTTCACGCGAT